TAATAGTTTTAGTAGTAGTAGTAGTCGTAGTAGTAGTAGTAGTAGTAGTAGTAGTAGTAGTAGCCGTAGTAGTAGTCGTCGTAGTAGTAGTAGTAGTAGTAGTAGTAGTAGTAGTAGCAGTAGTAGTAGTAGTAGTAGCAGTAGTAGTCATAGTAGTAGTTGTAGTAGTAGCAGTAGTAGTCGTAGCCGTAGTCGTACACCGCACTCACATCTATACCCCTGGGTGGGTGTATGTGCGGCCGTTTTTGCGCTGTCATGTGCGCGCATGTGCGCGGCATGTGCCAGTCATGTGCCAGGCCTGTGCGGCCCTTCTTGGATGGATTTCCTACTGTGCACGTCGTGCCCGGGCATGTGCGGGGGCATGTGCGCTGTGTTTTGGTGTATCCATCATACGCACATGCACGCACAGTCCGACGCACATGCGCGCACATGCCTGCACATGCGGGAGGTGTTCGAGAATCGCAGATCTGTCATCGGCACATGCACGCACATGCCTGTGCAACCTCTCTTCGGGAGGCCGCGCGGGCCCGCACATGCACGCACATGCGGTGAAGCGCGCGGGCGCACATGCGTGCACATCCCAATGCACATGCACGCTCATGCCCTAGGATCTGTCTGGGACCCTTGTGCCTCCAATGCCTCCTGGCCTTCGCAGAGCTAACCTGGGGCGTGCCAGGGCTTCCTGAAAGAGTTTGTTGTGCGTTTAGACTCGCCCGCTGCTGGCGGGAGCGGTTCTTCGCCCGGTGTGTGAGCTGGCGGCGGCGTGCCCTCCTAGTAAAACGCTCTCCCGCGCGCCTTCTCAGCTCGGCCGGAGAAGCAGGGGGGGGGGGAGGGGGGGGGAAGGAGGGGGGGGCGGAGGAGGCGGACGCCCCCGGCTCGGCCGGCCCGCCCGACTGTTCGGCTCGGCCAGACGAGAAGGAGGAGGAAGAGGAGGAGGAGGAGGAGGAGGAGGAGGTGAGAGTCGCGAGGATGTCTCAAGCGAAAATGGCTTGAAGGCCCGAGCTCAGGGAATCTCGGAATCGCTGGCCTGGCTCGGCCATTGGCGAGGTCGGCATGTGCGAATACTGTGCGTACCTGTGCGGGGCATGTGCGGGACGTGCAAGAATGCCGGGGCCGGCGTTCGTCTCCGGGCGCCGGCGCGTTCGCGTCCGCGCGCAAGCCGCGCGCGGACGAGCGTTCGCTTGATTGCGCGGCCCCGACAGACGGGGCGCCCCGCTCACGCTCCGCACAGGCGCGCGCAGCGCTCGCCCCGCCCGCGTTCGCCGGCAGGAGCGGCACGCCAGAACAATGCGGGAACGACCAGGTGCACAAGGCATTACTGCACCACCTTCACAAGGCTTTGCGCGAGGTCGTGGGGCAGCACCCGATCTTACGAATGGGTCAGCCACTGTCGCCTGAGACGTCCTCGCAACCCTGATCTCAATGATGCCCTGCTCGATAGTGTCTCGGTTCCTTTCGCTTGAGACATCCTCGGTACTCTGGGTTCCGAGACGCCCTGAGCTGAGCTGGTTAGACCACTTTCGCTTTAGAATCCTCGCCCGAGATGCCCTGAGTTGAGGTGTTCAGGCCACTTTCGCCTGAGGCATCCTCACAACTATGACCTCAATGATGCCCTGCTCCATAGTGTCTCGGCCTTTTTCGCCTGACACCCTCGCAACTCTGGGTTTCGAGATGCCCTGAGCAGGTGGTCAGGCCACTCCTGCCTGAGACATCCTCGCAACTCTGGGTTCCGAGACGCCCTGGGCTGAGGTGGTCAGACCACTCTCGCCAGAGGCATCCTCGCAACTCTGACCTCAGAGATCTCTTGCCCCATGGTGGTCAGGCCACTTTCGCCTGAGACATCCTCACAACTCAGACCTCGGAGGTGTCCTGCCCCATGGTGGTCTGGTCACCTTGACCAGCGACATCCTCGCCACTCTGGTTTCCAAGATGCCTTGCCCCATGGTGGTCCGGCCACGCTTGCCTGAGACATCCTCGCAACTCTGGGTTGCGAAATGCCCACTATCGCCTGCGACATCTCTGCGGCATTTGCTGGCATGTGCGTCTATGCTTTCAGAGTTTTGCTTGACCGTGCATTCGAGTGTGCGTCGGACGGTGTGGCATGTGCGCGCATGTGCGGCAATGCTGTTAAGGCTTTTGTATATTTGCATGGGCATGTGCATGCGACTGTGCGGCATGTGCCTGCATGTGCGGCCCCTTCCGGACCACAATTTCAAAGTGAGCATTATAGAAGTGAGCGCTATAGAAGTGAGTCCGGTGTAGTCGTCGTCGTAGTCGTCACAGTCGCCGTAGTCGTAGTCGTAGTCGTAGTCGTAGTAGTAGTAGTAGTAGCCGTAGTAGTAGTAGTAGTAGTAGTAGTAGTAGTAGTAGTAGCAGTAGTAGTAGTAGTAGTCGTAGTAGTAGTAGTAGTAGTAGTAGTAGTAGTAGTAGTGGCCGTAGCAGTAGTAGTTGTAGTAGCAGTAGTAGTAGTCGTGATCGTAGTCGTAGTCGTAGTCGCACT